GTTCAAGACCCACCTTCAACCACTATTGACTGCATTATCCTAGAGCAAATCATTGAAACTCTTAGTGGCCCAGGCAACTCTTCCAATACTTTAAGTTGTTCATCATGGAGGGCTTTTCTTTAACAGGAGTTCCCTTCTGAGATGAAATGAGAGAGGGAGAGGGAAAGAGATGATGTTAGCATTTTTTTACACCACTTCCTACATACAAGACATTGTTAGTCATATGTTACAGCTCATTTAATGCTGTCTGGGTCTCTCCATTACCTTAGAGTTATAGATTACATTTACAAATGAAAGATTATATTTTGAAAAATGCTTTTTATGCCATGTTATAGAATGAGTGACCTAAAGAGTTCCTTTGAGATCATCTAGTCATAAAGTCCTATATTTAGAGCTGGAAAGGAGAAGGGAATTTAGAGACCATCTAGTCTCTCCTCTTGTTTTACAGATGAGAAAACTGAAGCAAGGATGGGGTAGTGATTAAGTGGGAGTGCTGGGAGTAGAGTTTGTGTCTTATTTCTTCATCTAGTATTCGTCCATTGTAGCATGCTAACATGTAGCTCTCTTCTGGAAGATAGACCTAGGAAGGAAGGAAGGAAAGAAGGAAGCAAGCATTTATTAAGTACATACTATGTGCCGGGCACTGTGCTAAACACTTTAAAAATATTATCTCATTTGATTTTCACAGCAATCCTGGGAGATAGTTGCTATGATTGTCCCCATTTTACAGTTGAAGAACTGAGACAGACTGAGTAGTTAACTGACTTGCTCAGGATCACACAGCTAGTAAATGTCTGAAGTTGAATTTGAACTCAGGTTTTCCTTACTTCAGGTCCACTGCTCTGTCCACTGAGCCACTTTACTATGTCTAAGTTAGGCAGCCTCAGGGTTGTTATTCATCAGTGGACTTGATGGTGAAACTGTGAAATGGAGAGAATAGACTTTTGAATAGTGACATACAGTTAACAAACATTTATTAAGTGCTTGCTGTGCTGTAGGTGTGGCACTTTAGCACTGGAGATATAAAGAAAGGTAAAAATGCAATCCCTGCCTCAAAGGGCTAACATTCTAGTGGGGAAAACAAAATGCGGAAAATTGTACATGTAAGACATGTGCAGTGTAAACAGAATGCAATCTTAGAGACAAGGCACTAGCAGTGGTGGTGGTAGGGAACTGGAAATGCCTCCTGCAGCAGATAAGGTTTGATTTGAGTCTTGAAGGAAGCCAAGGAAGTGAGGAGGTAGAAGTGAGAAGGGAAAACATCCCAGGCATGGAGGATGGTTAGTGCAAATGTAGAATCAGGAGATGTTATGTCATGGTGAGGAATGGCAAGTAGGTCAGTGTAACTGGGTTAGAGAATGTGTGGAGGGAAGTAGAATGTAAGAAGACTAGAAAGGTAGGTAGTGCCATATCTGAGGAGTTTTTAAATGCCAAACAGAGGACTTTATAGTTAGCTCTGGGGGTAATAAGGAGCTACTGGATATCACTGAGCAATGAGATGCCTTGGTTGGATCTGTGTCTTATGAAAATCACTTTGGCAGCTGTGTGGAAGATGGATTGGAGTGGGAAGCATATTGAGACAGAGAGACTGACCAGAAGGCCTTTGTAGTAGGCGAGAGAAGAGGTGATGAGAGCTTGCACCAGGGTGGGCTGTGTGAGTGGAAAGAAGGAGCCCTATGTGAGAGAGGTTGTGAAGAGAGAAATGATGAGCCTTGGCAAAAGATTGGGTATGTGGAGTTGTGTGAGAGAGAGTAATTGAGGATGACTGAAGTTGCTAGCCAGGGTACTGATCAGGGACCGTTGCTTCTGTGCCACTATCTTTCCTTTGACTTCCTCTATCTTTTTGACATCAGAAAGTGTGATGTTGCTATGTAAGGTGAAGACAGGTAATGTAATGGATAGAATGCTAGACTTGGAGTCAGGAATACCTGGATTCAGATCCCATCTCTGATGTTTAGTAACTAGTCACTTAATTTTCCTGAACCTCAGGCAGCTTTCTTGGGTGAGTTACTTGACTGATGAAATTACAGATCCCTGATGTCTTGACATTTGTAGCTGTTATGTTTTAGAAAGTCTTAAAGCTGGGCCTGTTAACTACCTATTGAATCTACTTTAGGGTAAAATGTAGTAGTCATGGGATTTCTTCATCTGAGATATCTTTGAAGCATTTTTATCAGTAAAGCTCCAACTTAAAATGGAAAAGTCATTTTTGCATTTGTCACTTTTTGGTGGTAGAGGAGATCAGTTTCTGTGGTTTGTATACCTTTGGTAGCACATGTGTTTGAATTTTACAGACTATTTGGTAAATATCCTAAAGTGGTTTCATTTAAAATATACTTTTTGAAGTAAATTTGATTCTGAGGTAAAAAGAGGACTCTTTTTTTTGTTTAAATTATAATTTTTTTGGTTTAAATTATTGGGAGGATGTATGCATAGGATAAGGGTGTTAGTGGGTCTAGGGCCCTGAAGACTTTAAAGTGAACGTTTCTCTCTCTGCTCTACTAGTTGTCTGAATAATGCCCTTATTGGCTAGGAAAACTCCTTTATTCCTGTGTGTAGTAGTCTTAGAATCACAGAGTTAGAAGAATGTTCAAACATAGAATACAAGAGTATTCAAGCTGAAAGGAATCAAACACTGTGATGGTATGCACATGGTAGGGAAGTATCCTAGTGTCTTGATTCTAAGCAAAATAAGGTCAAAGTTCACATATTAGGGTCCAAGATCCCAGGGGCAGAATCTAAATTCTGCTGGGAGGGGAATGAGGAGCAGGACTAGAGTACAGGTGGAAAATGGAGTGTGGTGTACATGGAATAGCAAGGAAACAACAGTATGGTTGGAATAGTAGGTTTGTAGAAGAGAGTTATGTTCAAGAAGACCAGAAAGAGAGAAAAGGCTAGGTTATGAAGCATTTTAAGTGCCAATTAAAGGAGGTTATATTAGATGCTAGAGGTAATAAGGATCTACCGGAGTTTGGGGGCGGGGGGTGGGGTGGGTTGTGACCTGATGATATTTGTGCTTTAGGAACATAGAATATTACAAGTTGCTCGGAACTACATGGAGAATGTTTTTGGCAGAACTGTCCAGGACTCTGCTTCTCCTTAATTCCAGTCCTAAGCAGTCTCTTCTGTGTGAGCTAGATGGTGATTAATCTTTAAACAGAAGACATCCTCTTTTAAAATAGCACATAGGCTATTACAGACATCATAGCTCAGATATGACTAGTGTACAGATACAGCAATTTAGACTATATTGAGAAAACTTTTTCTTTGTTATTCATTCTAATCAAAGTTCATTTAGTGTTGGCTTTCATTTCTTAACAGTGGTACAATTAATGCAGTCCCCATCTAACAATGTTAAAGAATAGAATATTCTCAATTGAATTATGTAGGAGGAATATGCTCTGGCAGGGAAAGCCAAAGTGCTTTCTGCTTCATTGAGTAGACGATTAGATTGATGTGAGTTTCTTTCTTGAGTGATAGAACTGGTTTTAAAACTAAATGAAGCGAGCATCATCAATCCAGTTAGCATTGATAACTCATTATTATTGGTTGGAAAAGGGCTACATTTGTAACCTGATCTTTACTTCATCACGCTGACAGATTTGGACTTAGTTAAGGCAGGCTTGTTTCAACTTAGACAGACCCAAGACAAAGTCATAAAAATGTGCTCACCATTTTGTCCTGAAATTTGTGAGCAGAAAAGGCTGGAGTGCAAAGCAGATTCATGAAAGGGATACACATGTAATTTTTATAACATTTGAGTTAATGAATTTTTAATGGTGTCAATGAGGCTTTTCATTTAAGTTAAGCTAAACTAGAACAATTTTGTTTGTCACAAGAGGTTGTCTAAGTAACTTTTGTGCCTTTTATATGATAGGCACTAAAAGATCTGATCTTTTTTGGTTCCATGTTCAACTATTCTATCTACTAAGGACTCTTCTAGATCTCTCTGACAGTATAAGGACCCATGTTTTAATATTCAGTTTTATGTTCTAACATTCTATGTTTTAAAGCTTCCAAGTCTAATGTTTTATGTTCTAACACACTGTATTCATGCATTCCATTTGAGGCCAACATTCTGTGTTTTATGGTATGATGCTCTGTGGCCCAGTCTTCCTTCTGGCACTAACATTCTCTGACTCTGACACTTTTACTGAGGAAAGGTTTTCTTTCCAAAGAATGAGGAGTTTTGAAATACCACTCCACCTTTCCATTCTCTACTCTTTTTTTTTTCCATTCTCTACTCTTTCTGAAGAATATATTTAGTGTTTCCTACCTACATATTTCGAAAGGTCATTTAAACTAATAGTTTACTTTGATTATTTGATAAACTGGGAATGTGTAAACAAGGACAAGTACAGTGGTGTCATTAAGAAAAACAACTTGAAAATGTTACAGTTTGATGCCAAAATAAATTGGTGACAAAGAGAAACTTTCACCCAAAACTAAGCAAATAGAGGTTGTAATGGAGGAAAAGATTGAGTACATTCAGGAAAAATGATCTCTGAGAATGATTGGTTTTATCTCTTTCTTGTTATTGGTTCTATTGATGTTGGGAAGCGGTTCCTAATCCCAGACCCCTCTGTTCCTAGGTAACAGGCAAAAATGGTGCCAGCAGAAGTGGTCCTGCCAGGCCAAGCCCATGTGGTTTGGTGTTATTCAGTCTGATCCATATGGTCATGCTGAAGATGGTCCCTTGAGGGGTGTTAACACTCAGCCATGCAAACTCCTCCCTCCCTTTGGAGCTTTGCTGCCGGGCCCCTGCTGCTTGCCCATGTGTGAATCTTGATTAATTTTTCATTTTTAATGAAGTTTGATCATGTTTATTATTTCACATGATTGACTGCCCAGTCCTCCTCCCCATGTAATTGATAAAGCTCATATTTCTTCATCTGTCTCAGATTTCTTCAGGGGTAGAGTTGTAAGATTGGGCGCTTGTGGTTAATGTTAGATTTATTGCTCCCATTAGATGTATAAATTATCTCTTTTTCTCTCCACAGGAAGTTCTACAGACTTTGACCAAGTTTTGTTTCCCCTTCTGTGTGGACAGGTAGTGTTAGATTTTTAAACTTTACAAGAGAGAAAAAAAAAACACTTGTCAATAAAACTGCTATGGAGAATGAAAACCATGCTATTTGTAACATTCTGTCTGTTTAACTATGATTTAAAGCACCTATGTGCCGGGGAGAGTTGCAATATCCTCTTTCCTGGGGATTTTATGGGCACCATCAAAAAGTTTAAAAGTTTTAACTGTGCATTGGTAGAGGAGCGTGAGATAGTGGGAAGAGTCCTACACTGGGAGGCAAAAAGATCTACAATTGATTTCATAGCTAATGTGCTATGTGACCTTGGTCCAGTAATTTTCCCTCTGTAGGTTTCAGTTTCCTTATCTGCAAAATGAAGATTAAATTATAGTATGAATAATAACAGTGAAGAAGAAGCAGTGGTATAGTAGCAAGAGCTTACAATTTGGAGACGTAGGTTCAAATTCTAACTCAGCCACTCTTTGTCTTTGGGACTTTGCCTAAGTCACTTAAACTCTCTGGGCCTCAGTTTCCTCATCTGGAAAATGAGGGTACTGGATTACATGATCTTTAAGACTCTGTCAAGTTCTAAACCCTGTAACTATTTTATTCTTATAATAATAACTTACATAATAATGCTTTAAGGTGTACACATTCCCCTTCCCCCCTTAAAAACACTGAAGTAATAATGGCAGGATGATTATCCTCATTTTACAAGTAAGGAAACTGAGACCCAGAAGTGAATTTATTTGCCCAAGTTCACGTAACTTGTGAGTGTTAGAGTCACGAGTTGAACCCAGTTCTTTTTGACTCCCGGCCCAGTGCTTTTTCACTGTACCATGCTGCTGTTTGGTCATCTCTAAAGTTTCTTCTGGTTCTATGAATGAAAGATTTTTTAATTTAATTTCAGTACCAAACTTAAACCACTGAATTAGCATGGTTGGAGTTTAATTCTGCAATTTACTCTATGTGCATTATATTAAACATGTAAATTTTATTATAGAAATTCATGCATTTTGGATATAATATATGTGTATATATGTGGGGGATGAAGGGAGGGGGGAAAGAGAGAGGCAGAGAGAAGAATAAGGAAGAGGAGGAGGAGAAAGAGAGGAATGGGGGAGAGACAAAGGGGGGGGAGGAGGAGAAGGAGGGAGGCAATATGTGTATATTAAGTAAACAGAAATTATAGGTGCATCAAATTTAAAGATGCTTGACTTCTCCTGAAATGGAGTGATCCCTCTCCATTCTTGATATGGTGGATCAGATAGACAGCCTCAAGTGGTGATCAGGGCACTGCACTTGGAGGAAAGTGACTCAGATTCAAGTCTTAGGTTCTGCTTCCTTTTGTTAATTGTATAACTTTGGGCAAGTCACTTTCTCCTCACCTGTTTAAATGAGGAAGTCACACTAGCTGATCTTTATGGCATCTTCTGGCTCTGACGCATTCTGTAATTCTGTGACATATATTGTTAAGTCATAATTTGGATCTTGATCAGATGCCTAATTTAACTCAACAAAGTGTCTCCAATGTAGACAACACTGTGTCTGGTGTTGGAGATATAAAGATGAAATGACCCAGCCACTGCTCCCAATTAGCTTGCAGTCTACTGGCAGAGGTGGATGAGACATGTACACACATAACTGTGAGGAACAGTTAAATGTGGTCAGTACAAAAGAGACATTCAAGCTCAAGACCATAAGAAGTTTTAAGAAGAAAGGCATATTCCCACCTGGGGGAAATTAGGTAAGGATTCCTAGGCCAGTCAGTGCACATGTAGACACCATTAAATGAAAAATTTGCATTCATTTTAAGATGAGTAAAACAAATTTCTCTTCCTTCTTGTGTCTTTTAACCAAGCCAAGCAGATTATATTTGCTTGTTGGCTTCTATTTAATGTAAATTTCCTGTTTATTTGTATTAACCAGCGATATGTTTTATTATTGTGGGACATAGAGTATATTCTAGTAGAGTCAGAGAGTAATGCCCTAGTGGATTCTTTTAGAAAAAAGTTTTCCTAGTCATTCCTGTGTCCTTTTTCCTTTTCTACCATAGTAAACACTAGTGCAGTTTATTAATCTTTCCAAAAAAGTAGGACTTGCCCAATCATTGCTAAATAGAGAAGTGATGACTTGTAAGGAAACTTAATAGTCCATATGTGAAAAATATATGTTACAAATCATGGTGATCATATACTTGTAGGGAATAATGGAGCTGGCATTTTTAAGAATTTAGTTGGATTTTTAATAAAGAAAAACAGTTCAAATATGACTTTCTGTTAAATGGAAATCCATTTTGGGAGGATTTTTTTCCCATGGCTATTATTTTTAAATTAATATTTTAAAACTAGAGACAGCACATGGCATAGTGGATTGAGTACTGATATTGGAATTAAGAAGACATAGCTTAAAATCCCATCTCTGACATTTACTGTCATATGGCTGTGGGCAAATCACTTAACCACCCAGAGCTTTAAGCAACTCTCTAAGATTCTATATCATAGGCCATGATCTGTGTTGGTAGAGGGATCTCCCACACTGATGAAACCATAGGTATTTTTAAACTAATAGGACAGTAGTATGATTCAGGGGACAGAATGCTGAACTTGGATTTTAGATGCCAATTCTATCCGTGGTTCTGCAACTGTGTTACTTTGTGGCCTTGGCTAAATCACTTTACTTCTCCAGGACTCAGTTTGCCCATCTTTAAAATGAGATTAGACTCTACAGTCTCTAAGGGCCTTCCAGGTCTTACGCTCTGTATTCTAATATTCTCTGTTTTATGTTAAAACATTCTAAGTTCTAAAGCCCCTTACTATAACATTCTGGGTTTTAATATTCTATATACTAAGTTCAGAGTGCTGATAATTCCTTCACATGCATAATTTGGGGACAGAAATGTTACTCTAGTGATAGAGTTTAATCTTTTACAATAGTTTTACTGAGATCTCTTTCACCTTAAGTGTGATGAAATGTTCTTCTGGTTAAAATAAAATATTTTTGGGAACCTAAAAGGAACATTGTATTTGAGTCCCCCCTTTCTGTTCCCAGATTTAAACTTTTACAAAATTTAATATAGTCTAATTTAATCTAGTTTAGTTTACACTGGCAATACTAATAAATTAGTTCCTTTTCAAGAAATACAAAGACTTTAATGCCAGTATTTTCTCCTTAAGTATCAGTAGTACAATTTGTACTGCAAGTGAATATTTTAGCCCAGTTTGTCTCTGACCAGAGTCTAAGCATCACAGGTGCTGGTTTTATTATTGTGGGACATAGAGTATATTCTAGTAGAGTCAGAGAGTAATGCCCTAGTGGGTTCTTTTAGAAAAAAGTTTTCCTAGTCATTCCTGTGTCCTTTTTCCTTTTCTACCATAGTAAACACTAGTGCAGTTTATTAATCTTTCCAAAAAAGTAGGACTTGCCCAATCATTGCTAAATAGAGAAGTGATAACTTGTAAGGAAACTTAATAGTCCATAGGATATTTGAGTAAGAATGGACCTTACAGCATAGGGCATCAGAGCTGGAAAGGGCTTTAGAGATCATCTATGCCAATACCTCCTATTTTATAGGTGGGGAAACTATGGCCTGGGGAGATACCTCTCTGGAAGGAAGTTAGTGTTAGAATAAGGTATAGAACTGAATCCTCTCTATACACAATTAAGGTTTTCAAATATATGAGGGCTTGTCCTCTGAAAGGAGGATTAGTCTTTTTTAGCTTGATCATAGAGAGAAAAACTAGGAGCAATGGGTAGAAATTATAGGGAGGCGGATTTCAGTGTTAGCAAGATTTTTTGAACAGATATAGCTGTAACAGATAATAGCATGAAATAGGTCGTCTCCAGGATTAGTCATTTCCCCAACATTAGAAATGTCCAAAATGAGGCTAGATAACCATTTGTGGGTCTGTAGAAGGGGTTTATACTTTGCGACCTTCTAGCTCTGAGGTTCTATAAAATTGCCTGTTAATTAAAATTCTAAAATTCCCAGATATTAGAATTTTTGTCTGACTAAGCACCTAGTACAATGCCTTGTACTTAGGAACCTAAGAAATGGGTTTTTTTTAGAAATTAAATCTTCCTTGTCATTTTAATATTTTTCTATTTAAAACCAGGAATTATCAAACAATATAACTTCTTAAAATATATAATTTTGGTATTATTTGTTATTCTCTTATCTTCACATGTTTCTTAGAAATAGATTGGTAGAAGCAACATTCTCTCCATTTGAAAAAAAAATGGTGATAGAAATTACATACTTAAGAACAATTCTTAAATACCTGTTGAACATCTTATATGTGATCAATACTACTCAAAATACAGAAGTATAACATATAACACCTTCCCTTAAAGCACTTAGTTGGGTTGGTGAGACAAAATATAAAGACTATTCAATTCAACTAATAATCATAACTAACAATTATAGCCCTTTGAGTTTAACATCACGTTTTACATATGTTACCTCATTTCATCTTCACAACTTAACAAATATCTGTGAAGCTTGCATTCTTTGATGCACAGTGCTTTGCTGGGCACTAGAGGTGATAAAGAAATAAATAAAAGACTGGGGGTGGGGTGTCTCTGCCCTTATGGAATTCACAACCTCGTAAGGAGATGAGACTCATATAATTATATACCCCATGGGACATGATAAATGCATGAGAGGTAGAGATGTTTTGATATTGGTGGGCTGAAAGTGAGGTGAGTTATTTATGACAGAAGAAATGAGGGAAGGTTTCATGGAAGATGTAGGTAGCATTTGAGCTGACTCTTGAAGAATGAGTAGAATGTTAGTAGGCAGAGATGGCTGAGAGGAAATTCCAAGTACCAGTAACAACATCAGCAAATATGATGTGATGGTAAAGTACATAATGTGCTCTACAGGGATAAAGGGAGATGGCTATGCAACCTTGTATGGAGCATGGAATACATGAAGAGGAATCAGGGGATAAACTGAGAAAGATAGGTCAGAGCTAGGTTGTGGAAAGCCTTAAATGCCAGCCTAAGGACTTTGGACTTTATTCAA